GAGAGGGGGATGCATTTCAAACCATGAGATGCAGCGTGACCCAAACCCATCACCGGCTGGTGCATTGCCCAATGAGGAAGCTGCCTAAATTAATCCCATGTGTGGATTTCTTATAGTTCAGCCCAGTCCATGGGGCCCTGGCATGATGCCTCTCCCCACAGGCTCACCCTAACCCATTCTCCAGCTGTGGCCCAATGTCAACTCACCATTTTGGGTGGGAGGTTGTGTTGGACATTTCACTTTAGGCACCCTTTGCCCGAAGACCCTGGTTTCCTGCCGCATTATCACCAAGGAAGGACGGTACGAAGTTCTTTCTCCTCCCTGTCTAGACGGAGAAACTGAAAGAGGATTTGTCACCAGATATAGAATAAGATTAGACAAAGACAGGCACAGGAACCAGGCATCCTTAAGGCTTACCAGGAAGCCTGCACCCTTCTCTGCATTGCTTTCTCATTGAGGCAGATAGAGGCTGGCAATGGATGGAGAACTCAGGGAGTTCAGAAGGTTAGAAGGACTGGGACACAGGTGGAGAAAACCTAGCCCGTGCACAATAGCAGGAGTGACATTCGTTAGCATGGTCTGTTTGCTCAGCCTTATATAAGCCCAGTGGTGGAGACCCAAGGGGATGTGAGTAGTAGGAAGGGCACGGGCTTTGTAGTCAGATGGATGAGAGTTCAAGCTCTGGCTTCTTAACTACTGGCACTGGGACTGTGCCCAAGTCATTTAACATCTCGGAGCCTCAATGTTCCTCACCTATATAATGAAAATAATAATAGCACCTATCTCACAGAGTTCCTGCACAGAGGACCAGAAAAGTTCATGTGCATGAAGGAGCTGAGCACAGCGCCTGTGGCCAAAAGGTGACAAAGCTATACAAATCACCAGCCCAGGAATTCAGAGGGGGCCCAGGTCGGGGCCAAACTGTTGCTTATCAATACCGGTCCATCCATACAGTTAAGCCCCCAAAAGATGCTTTTCCTGGCCCCAAACTGTTCCTGGCAGCACCTAGCTGTGAAACATACAATACATGGTGGATAGTTCATTTTTATTGTTATTACTGCTGTTCTTATTATCGCTATGTTGCTGCCTGAGGAAAGCAGTAGTGGACAGAGCCTTGGGAAGGCTGGCTGGAAATCTAAGACCAACTCCCAGCTCCACCCTCACCTGGCCACGTAAAGTTGGGCCTGTCCCTGCTCACATCTAGGCCAGCACTTTCCCCAGGCTTGGCAGTTCCCCAAGGACAAGGGAGCTGACAGCTGGAGTCATGGAGACTGTCCAGGGAGGGTTTGTGGATGAGCTCGGATGGATTGGGAGCCTTAGTCACTTCATTTATGATCTGGGAACAACAGCTTCCTACCAACAGGTGCCTAAGTTTCAGGACCTGGGATCCAGGTTCAAGTATGAGGCCAATACAGGAAGTCCTGCCCACCTGGTAGCCTCCTGGTTCCTCATTGGGGAAGATAACTATCCATCTAGAACTTTGCTCCATTCTTGAATAACGACCTTCCTAGAGATTGGATTCTGGTGAACTCACTGCTCAAACCTCTAATTGGATCCCACTAAAAGGAGCCAGAGTGGGAATTTGAAACTCCTATAGTTTATTTGTCAATAGTCGCTTTTCAGGCCAGGCCTGGAGGCTCCCATGTCCCTGGGATTCAGTAATTAATATTCTCCCAAAGGAAGAAACATGGGCTCTTAAGGCCAGTGGTAAGCTCCTAGTAGGGACATAATGAGGGTCCACCTCCAGGGCTGCAGGGATGTGCAGCTGGAGGGGTGGGCTGTGGAGAAGACTCTGGTCCCCAGCTCCATGGACAAATCGCTGGAGAGAGGGAAGTCTCTCCTGGTCCCCATGGACAAATGGTCCTCCATGGACAAATCGCTGGAGAGAGGGAAGTCTCTGTCACCCCAGCTGTGTGCCCTTGATCCACTTACCTCACTCTTGGGCCTGTTTTCTGGGATAAGGGAGTACCTCATGGAGTTCAGGCCCCAATGACCCTCCCCCAGAAGACTCTAGCAGCCTTATGTCTGGCCTCCCTGATTTGAGTCTTATTCCCTCTAGTCTCTGTTCCACAATCTGGCCAGAGTGCTCTTCCTCAGCATAGTCTGAGCTCCGCAGCCTGACATTCAAGGCTGACCTGGCCTCTGCTGAAATCTCAACTTCATGTGTCCCTCATTGGTAACCCTCTCTGGGATAGTCTTGCCCTACTCCTCTCAGGTTCATCAAACAGCTAGAGCTCTCTCTGGCCTCAATCTTGTTTTCATGGTGTGAGTCATTTCCCCTCCTGGCTTCAGTCAGTTTCTGTCACCTCACCCTGTTCCCTGCACACACCTGGACTGTTCTCACCTCAGAGCCTTTGCATATGCTGTTCCTTCTGCCTGGAACACCTTCCCCTTTCTCCACCTGGGCAACTTCTGCGCCTTATCCAGGTTCCAGCTCACTATCACATCCTCTAGGAAAGCTTCTCAGATCTGATTCATCTTCCTGTCTGCAACACCTCCCCATCAGAACCTGGCACAGAGAATCTATATGCCTGATAGTCAGTTTACTCCTAATTATGTTTTTTGTTTTTTGTTTTTTGTTTTTTGTCATTGTAGCCTCCATGAGGTCATCTGAGCAGGTGTTCCAGGACTGTGCAGAGATCCAGCGCTTTGGGGCCAATACCAGTGGCGTCTACACCATCCATGTGGCCAATATGACAGAGCCCAGGAAGGTTAGGAGGCTCCATGAGGGCTGAGGCTTTCAGAGGGTCCTGAGCCAAGGCCTTTGCAGACAAATCCCTACCCCCATTAGCTTCTTGCCTTGTTCAACATTTGAGATTCCAAAGAAAGGATAGCCCTACCTTCTGGAGTCCCAACCCAAACAGGGGAAAGATCATAGGGTTAAGGGAGAAGTTCCCAAAGTTGGAATTGCACCTTCCCTGCCATCTTGTCCAGAGATGCCTTTAGATTGGAATAGCAGGAAACAGTTCTATATTGTTTAAGGTAATGGTAGCTGATATAACAAATAAACCCTGAAATTCCAGAAGTTTAACACAAAGAAATGTATTTCTAGTTTACAGTAGTCTGGTTGAAGGCAGGTGTAGAGGCTTTGCTCCACGTGGGAAATTAGGGACCGGGGCTGACGGAGGCCACACCATCTTCAGTGAGTGATCCCAAGGTTGCCCTGAGTTCCGAGGTCCAGTTTTCAGATGGGAAGGAGAATCAAGGGAAAGTGCAGATGTCAGGAGTGAGAATTTGAGGCCCAGATCCAGACGCTGAAGGGTATGGGGAACAAATAGCCAGTCTTCCCACTTCATACTTCCCTTTTCAATTTCCTTTCAACCCTTCTGAATATATTGAGAAGGATGTCTCAGTCTGTTTCCAGATTATCTTTAACACTTCTCACACACCTGCCGAACTCCCCTTTTAACAAAGAGAGATCAAGTTTTCCATTTTTAGCTAGAATTTCATAATACTATTTTGTTTTTATTATATTTAGTTTTATAATTATCTAAATAAAGGCTAGTGTTATTAGTTTTCCACTTATGTTACTGATAAGATGTCCTTTTAAAGTACATTTAGTTTAAGTATTTAAATAAAAAAATGAGGATACCATTTTTTAAGTAAATATTCTCTATTAAGTAAATTCAGCTATGGTAGAATTCAAGAAGGTTTGCTAATGGCTTAAATTTGGGAACACTGATAAAGAAGGAAGAGCTGGCCCAGGAGTCAGTAGATCTGGACTCAAACCTCAGCTTTACTCTAGACTCACATGCCTTAAGTAAGTCCCTTCCCCTCTCTGGGCCTCAATTTCCCTTCCTGCACCATCTCCTACCCTCTCAACAGATGCCACTGTCTTCTTTCACTGAGCAGGCCTTTACCATCTCAGAGCCTCTACTCCTACTGCTCCCACCACTAGAAATGCCATTCCCACTCATCTCTACCAGGCAGGCACATCATCGACCAAGGCACTGTTCCAATGCCACTTCCTCTGGGAAGCCTCCCAGGGTTTCCCAGTGGCTCTGTCTTGGGGGCTCTCCTTGTAACTACCCATATATTCATAATCGGTCATCAGCTTACACCATCATAGCCTCTTCCAAATCAGCCCCAAAGGTTGATTTATCTCTGATTTATCTCTGACTCTTCTCAGCCAGGGCCAGACCAAGTTTGTCCTCATTGAACATTGAATATGTAATGAACTAGCTGGAAAAATAATATGTGAACAAAGGTTAGCCTGAAAGATGTGATTGTGATGATTATAAGCTCTTTGAGAGAAAGAACTCTGTTTTATCCTTATTAGTTTCCCCAGTGCCTCAAATAGAGTCTGGCACATATAAAACATTTGTCCACTAAATGGAATAGCATTTCCTGAGTTTACACTGTGTGCCAAGCACTTTACACCTAGAGTCATTTAACCCATACAGCAATCCTGCAGTAATAGCAAGTGGTAAGCCTAGATTTATTTAGTTCCTAGTATGTGCCAGGCTCTGTTCTTTAGAAGACTCATCTCATTTAATTCTCACAACAAACCCAGTTTGCAGATAAGAACGCAATGCATAAGGAGGTTAAGGTATTAACATCCCCATCTTATACATGATTTGAAATTGAAGGAATTGAAGGCAGAGAGGGCATCATTTGCCACCACTTTAGGAAAAAAAGATGACAATGAGTGGGGAATTTGAACCTAGATCTTTTGGATGCCCTTGACCACCAGGCTCACCTGTTATTCTGTGAGGTTCTGTCAGTCAGATCACACTTAGGATGGCACAGACCTGGCTCTGGTTGCTTCCAAGGGCTGCCAGCTCACCCCGCCCCGCTCCCACCAATTCCTTCAGGTTTTCTGTGACATGGAGGCCAATGGAGGCGGGTGGACCCTCATCCAGCGCCGTGAGAATGGCAGCGTAAATTTCCAGCGAAACTGGAAGGATTATAAAGAGGTAACATTGCTACCCTGTGGAGGAGTTTTTCAGCCCTGAAACCTAGTCAGAAGGCAGGTCGTGCACAGGAGACTAGTTTACCATCAATCCTTCCTAGAAAAAAATCAGCCCACCCAAACCAACCACTTTCAATTTGCCCAATGCATATTTACTTTAGGGACTCCATCCTCTAAAATTGAACCTTCCTTTTTACAAGTTCTGACATATACTCTAAGATAAAAATTTAACTTTATTTTTGTTTTAATTTTCAGAAGATATCGTTTAAAATTTTCAAGAAACAGAAAATAAGTAATCTCCCCCATCAACCCCTGACTGCACTGTTTAAATGAAATTCCTTGCATTTGCACACATATGTGGCTGCATCTGCAGCAGAGATTCTTCAATGTGGAATTGCTGTCTCAAAGACCATGTTCATTCTACAAGATGAGAAATAGCGCCCTATTGTCTTCTTTTCCGTGTCTCCTTGCTGTCCATTTGATAAATATACTTAAAAATAAATACCAAATTAAGCTAGGAGTGTCCTTGAGCCAATTGGGTTTAAAAACAATCGTTAAAATAGCAAAGAGATGTAAGGTGCTCAGATGCTACACTAAAGAGAGCCAAATATTAACCATTAAGTTTATCAGCAGCTCAGCGTGACTGAAATGGGTAGCGGGGCTTAGGTGTGACCCTGTCCTTGGTGCTGAATTGTTCTGGCCGCGGGCGTTGATAATCTTGTCAGCAGAAGACACCAGTGACTCTCAATGCTCTTAGCTTTACGTTTCTATGCTGCTGAAATTTTGCAGTGGTTTCCATGTCATTAAAGTTTCCTCTACCATTTATGCAACTGATTAAAATCTTTAATATTAAAATTGAGATTTAACATACAAGCACTAAGTGCACAGATCTTAACTGTAAGACCCAGTTAATTTTTACATATGTATACACCCATCTGACCACTATTTAGAGCTAAATATAAGACACTTCCAGCACCCCAGGTGCCCTCCTTGTGCCCCTCCCAGTCAATACTTCACCAAGGAGGTCACTATTATGACTTCTATCAACACACATTAGTTTTGCCTATTCTTGAGCTTCATAGAAATGTGATTTAGTTATTGAAAAAGGCTTTTATAGTTGCAAAAGTCTTAGTCTTTTTGCTCTAGGAGATGGAGCTCCTCTCTCCCCAGCCTGCCCACTCTGTATTTTATGAACTTGATCATTAGGCAAAATGGTTTTGGATGGGTGGCCCCAGTCCCTGAACCAGCCCAGCTCCTCCACCAAGGGCATGCCTCCCTCCTCGGCGTGCAGCCCACCCTCACTCTCCCCTCCGCCATAGGGCTTCGGTGACCCAGCTGGGGAGCACTGGCTGGGCAACGAGGTGGTACATCAGCTGACCAGCAGGGCGGCCTACTCTCTGCGTGTGGAGCTGCAAGACTGGGAAGGCAATGAGGCCTACGCCCAGTATGAGCATTTCCAGCTGGGCAGCGAGGGGCAGCTGTATAGGTGAGCTTGGGGCCCCAGCTGGTGGGTGGGCTGGGGTCCCTGGGCTAGTGGATACAGAGTCTGCACCAAGGGTCAGTCCCTGGGCGTCTCCTCTTTCTACCATCTGTCCACCATTTGGGCGCACGTCATGGGATCTGGAGGCAGCTGGTTAGCACTCAGCACCTCCTGGCCACTGGGTGGGGTGGAGAGAATGTTGCTGATGCTTCCATCCTGGGAAATGGGAAGGGGCCTTCCAAGGTCAATCCCCCCAAGGCAGTCATTTTACAGAGGCCCAGAAGCGGGTGGTGACTTCCTCAGCCTGTTCTATGCTGCAGGGTAAGGTAGAAAGGTCCCTGGGCTGGGAATCAGGAGACCTGGGCTCATTCTGTCTCTGCTTCAGCTAACTTTATGAACTTGGGTGAGTCAAGGCTCTGGCTTCTCTATACTTCTGCTTCTTAACAGTAAGATAAGCTTATAGATGAGCATGTTATAAAATCGGCAATGTCTCTCACCCTTCCCTCAGCCTGGCTCTTGGCTCTGTTTAAGAAAAGGAATTAGCATTTATTGAGCATTTATTATGTTCCAGGCACAATACTCTATTTAATCCTCCCCACAACACTCTAAGGTAAGCATTGCTGTACCTGTTTTAGTGATGTGGAAAATGAGGCACTAAGCTTATGACTCATACCTAAAGTTACAAGTTAGGTAGAACCTGGATTTGAACTCAGGTCTGCCTGCTGCCAAAACTCATGGTGTTCCCACTACATGATGTTGCCTCTCTGAGAAATTCAGGGATCTTGAAGATAAGCCTGAGTCTCGGCTATCTTTGAATCAAGACAGAATCGAATTCACAGACTCACGTTCACATGATGCAAAGGACCTCACATGTCATCTGGTTCTTCATCTGACGCTAGAATCCCCTTCACAGCCACAGTCATCATCCAGCTGAGCTGGATTGCCTCCACTGATGGGGAGGTTACTTCCTCCCAAGGGATCTCTAATGACTCTCTGTCCCCCTATACTTTATTTCTAATTCTTCCTCTGCGAGCTTTTCAATGATATGCCCCCACCCCCTCTCTTATTATTAAATGCCCCTGGTTTCTCCAGCTAGATTATTCTGATATTCCTTCTTTGGAACCCAGCCCTATCTGATAATATTCCTCCTTAAAGGTCCAGAGCTAAATGAAACATCCCCTGGGTCTGGGCTAGGCAAACCTGAGTCATCGTAGCCACAATACCCTGCTGACTCCTATTTAAACAACTGGCTACCAAAGTCCTGACTCCATCCCTCTCTCTGAGAGTGACCCCGAGCAAGTTCTTCCATCTTCTCATTGTAAAATGGGTGCCCTATGTGTACCTACCCTATTCTGGGTGTGTTGACGCTTGAATGAGATACTGCGCATAGAGAATTAACACAGTGCTGGGCACCAAGTAAGTGCTCAGTAAATAATATAATCACTGTCCCCAAGGCAGCCTTTCACGCCTATGACTGTTCCACTCTGTGTGAGTGGGAACCAGGCCCATTTTGTTCACTGCTATCTCCATCCCCAGTGTCTGGTACATGGTCCCAAGTCTTTCCTACACACGTGGCAGTTAAGCCTGATCTCCCTGGCCCAATTTTTGAGCAGCAACTTCTATGGCCCTAAGTCCAGGATTCGTATTTTTCTTGGAGAAGAAATATTGGGAGAAGTATCTCATTACACTAAGAACACGGCCCTGGAGCCAGACCACCTGGGTTTGAATTTCTATCACTTATTGGCTTCATGACCTTAGATCTCTCTGTGCCTCTGTTTCCTCATCAGTAAAGTATAGCATTTATGTCATAATTGAGTACAAGGGTCAATTATAAACACTTATGAAATGTAGGGTGTACAAAGACACCCTACATTTCATAAGTGTTTATAAATGTTAGAGATGTACAAACAATATTTTCAGAGACAGAAATACAGTATTTTTGCATCTATGCGTATATCTCTGTTATCTGGGCCTAATTATGCAAATATATATGTGTGTCAAATTAAGAACCCTTTGCCCTGCTCTCCTATGTGCATTTGATGTGCTGCCACTGGCTTTTTATCTGAGCCATGGAAAGCTCCCTGCCCACAGATTCACACCCCTAGGCCTAGGTCTTAAAGGGCCCAGATTTACTTGACCTTCTGCAGAGCCCTAAATACTAAAGACAATATACCAAACACTTGCCCTGTGCCAGACATGGGCTGGCACTGGTCATTTGGGGATGAATCAGACCTAGGCCCCACCTCCTCATAATTGTTCATAGTCCAATGTGTTGTGTGTGTATGGGGGTCAGCATGTCCACATGCAATCCCACACCTTTGAGGAGACAAAAGCTACCCAAGGAGAAAACATAGGAGCATAGAAATGCTTGTGCAATCAGAGAGGGCTCTCTGGAGGAGGTGAAACCTGTAATGTGTGGGCGTTCTCCAGACAAAGAGGATAGGAAGGACATCCTAGGAAGCA